GTTGTGAGCCACCATGTGGTTGCTGGGAATTGAACTCAGGACCTCTGGAAGAGCAGCCAGTGCTCTTAACCTCTGAGCCATCTCTCCAGCCCCCTTCAGATGTTTTATGATTAGATTGTTACTCATTTTTGGAAAGAACAGAATAAACATGGTCTCGTTACATGACATCAAGAGGCTGTAGTTTTAGTTTGTCCCATTATTGATGACCGTTGCCTCATTAACTACTTGGTTACACTGAGGTATATTAATAATTCACAAAGGAATAGGGGGATAAATACTTGACTCCATCTCTGTCAGCCTTTTTTTGAGACAGGGTCTCACTATGTAGCTCTAGCTGTCCTGGAGCTCATTATATAGACCAGGCTGGCCTCAAACTCACAGAGATGCACCTGCTGCTGTCTCTCAAGTGCTGGGATTAAAAGCATCTGTCACCATGCCCAGCCTATGGCTATTTCAGAATACTGAGTCATGTGTAATTTTTAACCAGAGTGAAGGAGTGGAGAGTGATACTCATGGGTTCAATAAGCATTATGCCATTGGGGGAATCTGCATGGTGGTCTTTCTAATAGTGTGTATGTGTGAGTGAGGATGCATGTGTTCTGTGGCACATGAATGGAGGTCAGAGCATAACTTTTAGGAGTTGCTTCTTTCCCTCCTTTGTGACTTCTAGGTATTGAATTCAGGTAATCGGGTGTGTCTGGCAAGCACTTCTACATACTGAGCATCTCGTCAGCCCATATTTTGTGTTTTTAAAAGAGACTGAACTTGATGGTCTCTAAGGTCCTTATTAACTATAATGGGTTTTGAGTGTTTTCGATCAAACAAGGCCGATCTCCGTGGTGATTCTGTGCCTCTGGGTACTCTGCACAGGCTTGCCTGAGCCACAGGATTTGCAGCAGTTTTGTGGTTGTATCAAAAGCTCTTGTGCTTAGAAGTTGACTAATTTGTGGGCCTAGCAAGTCTAAATGAGATGGCTTTACTGGTATCACACTTGGGAATAAATTTTGCAAGATAATAGAGGAAAAGGAGGATGCAAAAAAAAAAACTACATATTTGTCTCATTTTTGTAAAACAGTAACTGTATGTGTGCATATAAAATATGCGTAAGAGTAAAAGATGTGAGAGAGTGAGTGTGGAAAGGAGGAGGGAAGAAACAACACTAGGTTGTTGATGTGGCGCCCCTGGGAGGTGGGACAGAGGGCAAATTAGATATGGATTTGGAAGGATAAGAGGGTGGGGCAAAGATCCTGTGAGATCTCTGTACAAAACTGTGTGTATTCATACAGAAATCCATGTGCACGCCCCCTGCAGGTCAGTTGGTGGAAATACTACTGTCCGTTCCATCCTGTTGAGGTCTCTGATATTAGAAAGAGGGTTTGGGCTTTCCTCCCTGATCCCTGGGTCTGCCCTGCACACCCCTCCCTGAGCTCTCAGGATGTTCAGATGTTTTGCTTCTGTCTCGTTTCTTTCCAGTTGGAAATCTACATTTCTGAAGGAACTCACTCGACAGAAGAAGACAGTAAGTGATGGCAAACGTTACTGCAAACGGCTGCAGCTCATACTTCTGTCTGGGTGCTAGGTTATCTGTCAGCCACTGCTCTGTTGGGGTGCCTGCAAATAGAGGGGACACCACGAGTTGTGCTTTTCCGTCACAGGTCATTTTCCACTGTGTCTCTGGTAAACTGGGGCCCATGAATAGTAACTGGTTCAGGCCGTAGGCTACAAACGGATCTGTAAACATCCAGTTCTAGGGATCGTGGACTTCAAAGGTTTGGTTCTGCTCTGACAGTTCCTTAGCTGTGGGAAAGTTGAAACTGGGGATCTCACAAATCAAGCGTTAGGGAATCTCAGGGCTGAGGCTGTCTGTTAGAGTTAATGTGCTAGGACGGAAGTGGGAGGTGACTGTCTATTGAGGACCCCTAGTCTGCAGAGAAAAGTCAGCCAGTAGTCATTTGAAAACTGTAGAGGTGGGATCTGAAAACAGCAAAAGACATAATGTTTCCCAATTAGTGACGTGGTACATGGGAAACAGAATATTATACAAATGATGAGACCAAGTAAAGAGAAGAACATTGGAAATGTTTGTTTTCTGTCAGGTGTGGTGGTGGCGCGCCTCCAGTCCCAGCAGTCGGGAGGTAGAGGCAGGCCAATCTGAGTTTGAAGCCAGCCTGGTTTATAGTCAGGACTGCATAGAAAGACTCTGTCTCAAATAAATGATAAAAATGTTTGTTTACCTTTCGTCACTAGATAGACTGATAGATAGTGTAAAGAAGAGCAGAGGAGGGAGGAACAGGGTGGTGATGGGAAAGAGTGAGATGGAAGATCATGAGCCCAAAAGTACACACAGGGCTGGGGGGAGAGAGAGAGAGATGCATCAAAATGTATACTAGGAGAGAGGTGCAGAGAATACTCACTGCATCAGCCCACCAGCCTGTCCTAGAAGTCTGCTAGGTACTGTCAGGACAATGGTGAAAATCATGTCCTAGCTTTACATTCCCTGGGGATAAATGCACCAAACCCCAGAAACTAGGAGCTTTACCTTTTACTTTGTTTATTTATTTTTATTTGATGTGTGTGGATGTTTTGCCTGCATGCATGTCTGTGTACCTGTTTGCATGCCTCCAGTGCCTGCAGAGGCCAGAAGGGGCATCAGACTCCCTGGCAGTGAAGTTATGTTCTTAGCTGCCATATGGGTTCTGGGAATCAAAGCCAGGTCCTCTGGAAAAGCATCCAGTACTCTTAATCTCTGAGCCATCTTCTCAGTCCTCACTTTATTTATTTGAATTATTAATCTTTGTCATGCTGGGGACTGAACCCAGGGCCTCATATATGCGAGGCAAGTGCTGTACCATTGAGCTGTATTCCCAGTCCATTTTATTTATTTGTGAGACTTGATCTCATTTCATAGAACAAGCTGGCTTCAAACTCACAGAGATCCTCCTGCCTCTTCCCTGAGTCCTGGGTGTAAAGGTAGGCACCACCATGCCTGGCCAAAACACTTAGAATTTTTGCCATGTGAGCAGCACTGCAATTTAAAAAGCGGGCTGAAATGGGGGGAAAGTGGCAGTTTAGAATTTCACTCTGAATATAGAAATGTGTGTGTTGGTGATGCCAAGAAAGAAAGAAATTAGACTAGCATTGCTTGTAGAGTGGGAGAGCAATAGAGTGTTTTTCTCTTGAGACTGCTTTCCAGACCTGAGACACGGCGTTAGGAGGGGCTAGAGAGCCGGCTCAGTGGTTAAGAGCGTGTGTTGTTCTTCCAGAGGACTGGGGTTCAGTTCACCCCACTTAGAGCTTCAGCCCCAAGACATGCAGCAACCCTATTGTGGCCTCCATAGGACTTGTGAGCAATTCTCACACGTGTGTGTGTGTGCACACACAAAAGAAAAACATCTTAAAAGAAACTGAATGATGAGTAATTAAAGTTCTCAATAATTAGTTGTAGGTTCTCAAGGAGTTAAACTCGTCGTTTTGGCAGGCTCATACAAATGGCCGTCTGGTCTCTGTTGACACAGCTCTGTTAACTTTTGTCCACGTGTTTTGCAGTCAACAAGCAGATAAATGACAAAGAGCGAGTGGCAGCTGCGATGGAGAACCCCAACCTGCGGGAAATCGTGGAACAGTGCGTCCTTGAGCCTGACTGAGATGGCCGAAGAGCCAGGGACCTGTAGTCATTCAATCTGGTTGTTTAAATCTTTGTAAAATGCGGGACTCACGTTGAATATGTAGGTGATTTGTACCTCAAAGCATTTTTTTTAAAGTTTTTTCGTGTTTTTTTGTTTGTTTGTTGTTTGTTTTTATTTTTTGAGACAGGGTTTCTCTGTGTAACAGCCCTGGCTATCCTGAAGCTCTCTTTGTAGACCAGGCTGGCCTCAAACTCACAGAGATCCCCCAGCCTCTGCCTCCTGAGTGCTGGGATTAAAGGCGTGCACCACCATCGCCTGCTTTTTTAAAGGATTCTTTCCGAGCAGTTATGAAGTAGAACCTAATTGTTCAGAGAGTAACATTCTCAGGATTTCTAACCTAAGTGATCAGACAGAAAAATATTTTCTAGTTATTATGTGTAAAATGTTACTATTTTTCTGATGACCATTCTGATACAACTGCTTTTCATGTCAAATATCTACTGTGCCCAAATATATTTGATTTAAATCATCATTCTAAATAAATACAACAGATGATTCTTGTAATGGCTCACCTAATGTCAATGTGAACTTCTAAGATATCTCCAAAGCTATGTTCACTGATTTTTATGTAGAGAGAAGTCTAAAAATGAGTAGGAATCCTTAAGGAGAGGCCCTGCCTTCCTTTGTGGGGAACCCTGGACCCATTTAGAGCTGAGGAACATAATGTGGAGAGGGTCGATTTGAAATAATTTATTTTATGTGTATGATTGTTTTACCTGCATGTTTATATGTGCACCACATGCTTGTCTGGTGTCTAAGGAGTCCAGAAGAAGAATCAACCCCCCTGGGACTGGAGTTACAAACTGTTGTTAGCTGCCCTGTGGGTGCTGGGATCGAACCCAGGTCCTCTGGAGGAGCAGTGCAGGTGGGGGCTCTTCAACACTGAGCCCTCTCTCTAGCCTGGTGCTTACACAGTTTTAAAGAAGTCCCCCAAAGAAGAGTTGGGTTATAGCACAGTGAAAGTGTTATGCTTTGCAAGGTCATGTACCCGGATTCAACATCCCTCCAAAAAAAGAACAGTGAAGTTGTCCCAAAGGTTTTTGTTTTGTTTTTACTGAATCAATCCAGATGCTTGTTCTGGTCTTTCCTTATACTTGGTTCATCTTCACTTTTTTTTTTTTTTTTTTTTTTTTTTTTTTT